TGATACCAAATTGATACCAAAAAACGACAAGGAAAGTCTGTAGAAGGGTTACAATTATAAACAAACTAGATTAACAAGTCAATTTAGATACAATGATTTCATACTATTGACACCACTTAGTTTTCCTGAACATAAACACAACCAGGATAAATTTCAATGTTCTCCACTTGCAGATTTTCTTAGAATTCAGGACAAAGAAGCCCAATGCGATCTTCAGGAATTATGTGTTTGTACTCTAGACCAAACTAAAACTTTTGCAGAACAGTCGTTGCAACATGTTGAGCCTTTCATTCAACTCCATCTTGCTGGCTGGTTTTAACCGTAACTGGTTATTAGTAACTTGGATGCTGGAAAGTGGCAGTAATGCGGTTTATGGAGGTTTCTTGCTCCTGAACTTGGCTGGATGGCAAGTTTACAACAAGAGCTTCTAATTCCTGAAACAAGGAAGTGACTAAACCCATTGGAAACCACAAAGAAAGGCTAAAGATCTAAGCAAATCAAACTCTGTAAATTCTTGGACCCCACTACAACCTCTTGTTCTCTCGTCTCACCTGAAATAATGCGTTTTGCTGCTCTTTTGGAATTCTTGCAGCCTAATTTTGGGTAGACAACACCAAGAAATGCAGAAAAGTGGTTCAAATATGCTATGGAGGAGAGATGGACGTTTGGCAGATCGATTTTGGCGAAATCCCGAACTTCACTACAATCCCCTCCCTTCTCATCTGTCAAAACGTGGGCAATCCACCCAAAAAAGGGAATCCTCCCTTTTAACTTAGAAAAACATGAAATAAACTTGTCCAAAGGAATTCTATTCCCTACCAAAAAAAGGCCTATTTATAGGCAAGCTAACCGAAATAACTCTTAGACCATTTAATTACCAGATTACCCTTAAGAAGGAAATTAATGAAAATATGTCCACTAATTAATTATGAAAAGACTCCCTCCTAACACTATGTCAGAAGAGAAAAAGAGAGGCTGAAGCAAAATAGGCGTCCACAAATTAGATTTGAACGAAGATGATACTAGAGAAGACAGGGTCAAAGAAGCAGGTGGAAACAGAATCCGAAAAGATTTAATTTAAATCCATAAACCTCGTGAACTCCTCTTCTCCTTCAGGAACAGTTGCTCCCAACCCCAACCTCATCAAGACCTCCTGTGCGACTTCCTGCTACTTGATATAATCGGATGCATGGATGCCTTCTTTCGGGTGATTCCATGGTGGCTCCCTCGATTCTTTCTCTTAAGTGCTTGAAGAATATGCATAAGAATGGTGAAGGATTAGACAAGAGAGACGAGGCGGGAGTTTCATTCTCCTAAGTGCTTGAAGAATATGCATAAGAATGGTGAAGGATTAGACAAGAGAGACGAGGCGGGAGTTTCACTTTCTAAAGGAGTGAGGGTTTGCTTGATCGATATTATAATTCATAATGCACAATACTATTTTCCCGAAATCTGATGAAACATAATATCAAAATCAGATAGATAGAGGACTCAAAAATATTGTTTTGTACTTATTGATGGAATCATAAAAGAGGTTGAAAAGCATCTGGTGGTACATATTATTATAGCAATACTAGTACTTATAAGGCAGTGAAAATAAACTGATGATGAAAAAAATATATGAACTAGATATTATGTGCAACACTTCGCATAAATTGGATTTTTGAGAAATCTAATAACTTACCCGAGAACAAGAGTGTCTTAAGCAAAGCAAAGAAAAGATCGGCATATTCATCTATAATTATTAGTGGTTTTGGATTTTCATAACAAAAAAAAAACTTCTAAGAAAAAATTTTATACTCTACTACAATTAGATTTGTTGCAATCTACCTGACTCTATAATGCATGTCAGAAGCAATGCAACCTTTGGAGACTAAGTTCACATCCATATAATTGTTTAATTCTAATTGGGCAAAGAATCTGAAAGGGAAAAAGTTGAGAAGATTGTTTTTAATGAACGGTTTTGCTTAAGTATTAATATGCAATAACAACAATAAAGACATTATTTCAAGTTTTAAGGATTGTTAATGTAGGAAAGAAAGCCTGCTATAAGCTTCATTTGCAATGCAATAAACAAGACTAAGAATTGATAGAACATAACTTAATAGAAGAAGAGTCCAAAAACGGAGATATTTCAGAAATAATTGATGAGAAATTAAAACAATAACTTTATTTTCATTTGCATGCAGCAGGATATTATCTTAATCCTCAATTTCAACATACTAAGAATAAGTTGACCATTCATGAGAACAAGTTTATATCATTGCATAGAAAGTATAAATCACTTTACTACCATAAGGATGAAATCTTTGATTTATATCATATACAATAAGTGATTAAAGGATAAAAATTTAAGGAAAAACATTAAAGGATCGTGAAGATCCCTTAGTTTGTAACGATGTAACATTAGTGATGATTGATTTATGAATGAAAATAACTAAGTTGCATCATCTAATTTGCAAGAAGATCTCAATATTGATTTCTTCGATGAAGAAAAGCCACAAGACAAACATAATGCAAGCAAAAGTGCTAAAAAGAAAATGAACGTGTCTATAAAATTTTCAAAAATGTTTTTATTGATTATTATTGATTGGGGAAAATAAAAATGATTGAAATCAAATACGAAAAGAAAGATTGTGAGATAATTGACATAACTAAAGATGAGGCCGATGAGAAAATAATTCATTATGATGATGATTTTAATGAAGATTCATTGAGTGATGAAAATAAAAAACATTTCTTGAATTATTGATTTTTTTTTCGATTGTGTCATATTGAGTGTCATTTTTGTATTTAATTCTAATAAATTAAGATCATTTTTATACAGCATGCCCAAGTCTTTTTAGGTCTAGCTCTAGTTTTCTTAACATAAATCGAATCTAAAACATCTACTCTCTTAATTGGATCATCAGATAGTCAACATTCTATGTAAACAAACCATCTCTAATCTTGTCTACCACAAGAGCTGCATTAACCCTTTCATGGATACATTCATTTCGCATTTCGTCTCCAAGTGTCAAGCTACTCATCCACCTAAGCATTCTCATCTCAGCAAACACTTAGATTTATGCTTTTTTTTATAAGCCAACATTATGTAGGTCTTACCAACATCTTATAAAATTTTCTTTTAAGTCTAAACGGTACTTTTCTATCACACAATAGGCCTGAAGCATTCCTCCACTTCAACCAACCAACTTGAGATCTACTAATAACTTCCCCATCTATATCACCATCACTTTGAACAATAGACCCGAGATATCTAAAGCGTTCACATCTTTTAATAATTTGATTACCTTTAGTTATAACTCTGTCACTAGAGCTACTACTATTAAAATTACATTCCATGTATTCGATTTTAGTTCTACTCAAATGTAGGCCTTTAGACTCCAATGTAGACCTCCGCAATCCAAGTTTTTTCTGAGCTCTTTCTCTAGTCTTATCCACAAGAAGGATATCATCAGCGAAAAACATACACCAAGGTAGTACAGCCTCTTGTAAATGTCCAGTAAGAAAATCCATAACTAAAGCAAGCCGATCCCCGATGTAATCCAATTAAAATAGGAAAGTACTTAGTGAATTATGCCTCTGTTCGAAAGTAACAGCTCAAATATACAAATCTTTAATGACTTGAATATAAATCATGTCAATAGCTTTATTTTTATAAATCTCCAAAAGAATTTCTCTTGGAATCATATCTTAAGCTATTTCAAAATCGATAAAAATAACCCTCAATAAATGTATTGCTTCCATAATTTAAAAGTGCAATTAAGAAAAGTCATTGTATCTCATCTTAACCTATTGTCAATTACTCTCTCTCAAAATTTTTATATACGACACATTAACTTAATTTTTCTATAATTTACACACTCTTGTGCATCCCCTTTATTCTTGAAAAGAATGCCCAAAATGCTCTTCCTTTATTCCTCAGTTATCTTTTATAAAACAACAACAACAAAACCATTATCCCACTAAATGGGGTCGGCTACATGTATCCTTTTTCTCCATGTGTCCTATTTAGTGTCATATTTTCATTTAATTCTAATAAATTAAGATCATTTTTTATACAATATGCCCAAGTCATCCTAAGTCATCCTAGGCTACCGCAGTTATCTTTTATAGTTTTAAAATAATATTAAAAAGTTTAATATAACTTTTTTTTAAAAAAAAATTATAATCTAAGTGCCTAATTATTTATTATGTTTTTACCTTGATGTTAGAAAATGAGAGTGAGAAAGAAAGCATTATTGTCTTAAAATTATTTTTAAAAATTATGTTATTAGTTCTTACTTTGATGTTTGTATAACACTTCTTATTTCAAAATTTAATGTTAGGATGCTAATATGTCACTTTATACTTTGTGCAATTTGTTACTCACTATGCTAAAATGTAAATATATTACGTTTTAATATATTAAAAGGTTAAATGTTAATATCACTACCTCATAACTTTTTAATATAATATGTGCAATTTGTTACTCACTATGCTAAAATGCAAATATATTACGTTTTAATATATTAAAAGGTTAAAAGTTAATATCACTACCTCATAACTTTTTAATATAATACATCTTTTGTGCAATTTATTGGTTACACGTCTTATATCTCAAAACATCAAGGACGCTGCCTCGCCCCACAAAAGAAAAAAATCTCAATATCTAATTGTGCAATTTTAAACCATAAGTTGTTCCTTTACAAATATTTGGAAATTTAAAATATTCTAAAGACAATGTAGAGTAAAATCATGTATTTGTAACACTTATCAAGTGTAATTGTTTGTAAAAATATTTAGGCATTTATTTGTGTATAACTGCTTGCAAAGTATTTCAAGTATTTGTGGAGATGACAGGTGAAGGCAAAGGCAATAGCAGATGACAGCAACAACGACGATGGCAACGAAGGGTCGCACTTCACACAAGCAGTGTATTTGTAATTCACACAATAGGAAAATTTTAATAAATTAAAGATGAAAATGTGATAATATTGTAAATACATTTAAATTTTTCACTGGGCCTGTTTTCCTTCCTGCCAAACACAAAAAATTTCAAAAGTCATGTATTTCATTCGCACCATGATAGGAACACTTGCAACCATATAACCCAACGTAAAACAAGCTTGCAGTGCCACGAAGTAGAAAAAAAATGCTTCCATGCCCTCTTTTACCTAATCAATTAATGAAGTGTGGGTTAATACTTCAATTTTTCAGTAGTTGGTGAGACTACTGCACTAAAATCTGCCCAAAGATGCCACAAAAAATTCTAACAGTACCCAAAGGAGCATCTATGTTCATGCTAAGTTTTTCTACACTTTACCGAACAACTCATAGGTTTTCTGCATTTTATAAAACCAATGCCACAGCATAACCCTGCATGATGAAGCTAACTGAATAAAACTTTACAAAAGAAGCATAAAAATGAAATGCTATATGCCATAGTCAATCATTCGATGATGTTTAATGTCTCTAACTCCCTCGAGCACTTGAAAATAAATAAATAAATTTAAACCACGAGAAAAATGGAAGATTACTATTACCATGGAGATGATTGGCTGTTGAGTGTTGATCTTCTTTATCAACTCTGCTGCTGAGAAATCCCAATAGCAAATGTTCCCGTCTAAAGAAGAAGTCCAGCAGTAAGACATGAACTTGCTCACAGGGCCCGAAGCTGGCACCACTATGACTGAAGTGACACGATCTGTGTGCCCCTCCAATTCCGTTATCTAGCGACAAAAGACTCCATCTTATCCATCAAATTGCTGTTTTTGGATCCTACTTCGATTCTAACAACCCAAATCCAGAAGATGATAAAATTTAAGAGAATAGAAGTACCAGCATGCCCGTAGATGTGCTGAATATGGAGACGCTATTTCCCGTGCACACGAGGAGTTTCTTCGAGTCATTTGAGAAAGCTGGCGCTGAGGAAACCAAGCTCTGTCCTCCGGTAATCATGCTTGCGGAGTGGAGGTGGATGGGAAGAAGCTCTTCTATTTTATCCTCTGCACTCAGTAAATCCGGTAACTTTGCGCGAACAGGCTCACCTTCCTCGATGCCTTCGGGTTGGAGCGGAGCGCAAAGAGGAGAAAGATGGGAGCTTCGGTGGCCTCTGCACGCCGCGATCCGGTTGCCTTCCCAGCTAGCTCTAATGGCGACTGTATGGCGACGATGGTCACAAAGGCGTTGGTTTTGGGCGAAAGCGGGAGAAGGAGATGCGCGAGGGTTTCGGGCAGTGAGGGGGAAGCGGGGAATAGGTTACTTGTATTAATTTAATGGATTAATGATTTCTTAATATATTATCAAATTAATTATATTATTTTCTTTACAAAAAGATAGAGAAAATTTGGCATCTCTTAAGTTTTCATTAATTGGATCTAATGATGATATTTTTTTTTTGTAATTATTAATAGTGGGATTAAAATTAATTTCTCTTCTCTCTCTAGTTTAAGATAAAGATGCCACTTTTTTTTTATTTTTTATTTTTTATATTGTTATTGACGCTCTTGAAGTTTCACTTGATTATTAGTAAAATAATGGTAATCATTTTTAGTATATTTCTCATTTAATTATCTTGATGACATTTTTTTATTTCTTAAATATTGATTTAAATATTACTACCCCTATTAGATATGCTTTGATTAAGTTTAATAAAATTACAAAAACTTTATATTAATAGTTATAGATCCTTTATAGCCTTTTTTTTTAAGTATGTTGATGAATTTATTGAAGATAGAATTTGCAATATAAGTGGTCTTGTTATGAATTTGTGGCCTTAGAATTACATGGGAGTTATTATTAAACCAACCAAGTTGATTATGGATGATTGTATGTTCTTATTGATCAACTTCATGAGTGGACAATTTGTTGGAAGCACAATTTTTTATTGGTTGTTGGTAGATTACAACTTATTGAGTTTACTATTTGGAATTGTTTGTATTATTGATTTTTTTTTCTGTTAATCCTATAAGTATTAAAAAAAGGATAATTTTTATGATTTCCAATTTTATTTTGTGTGATGACAATGATATTAGGTTTTATATCATTTTTTGGAATAAGATTATGAACTAAAATTTATGATGATCTTGGTATCCTTTTTTTTATATAACATTAATGCTATGTATAAATTTAAAATTATCTAGAAATTTCATAATGTTAATTTGTATCTTTTTAGATTAGATATCGTACTTCCTCCACTTTTTTTTGGAAGGCTATTGTTAAAATTACTTTCAAAGTGAGACATCACCTAAAATTTCAAGTTATTTTAATTAGTTTTTTTTTTCTTTTATGATGTTTAGTTTCATGGCTCTTCTTTTAAAGAGTATTTTTTTTATATTATTTTAATTCATTCAATCATCCTCAAACTACACTTATTAGACATGTTTTCATTGATGGAAAGTAGAAATTTGACTTTTTTATTAATGTTCAAAAATATTGTTTAAATGATTTTATAGTTATTTCAATTATAGCCGGCGATACTTGCTTTTGTGACCAAGCTAACTAACTCTTATATTTAATATTATTTTTATTTCCCTTTATAATCATTTTTTGTGTGTTGATTGGTTTAATATTTGATTTAAATCTCATTTTATCAAACATGCAATTCACACTTGAAAATTTATTCATAATAGTTTTAAAACTTGTGATATTAATTTTCTTAGATGGATGAATATTAATAAGATTTGTGTGTTATCTGATAAAGATTTGCAAACTCGTGCTTATTTTTCATTTGAATGTTCTTTTTTTCTCATTCTCTTATGAATTATTGTGTGTCATATGCCAATTTATTTACCATCCCTATCAATATTTTGCAAGTTCTATGTCATCATGATAATATTCCTTGCAAAATTCAAAAAAGAAATCATCATTTTATCCATACAACATATGATGGATAAGACAGAATATCTGTCGAAAGCCTCCAGCTGTGGATCTACTATGATTTGAGTATTTCTCTTCCCCTCATGCTGCATGGTGGATCTTGCTAATAAATTTGAAAATGCAACTTCTAATGGTTGTGGGCTAAATTATATTAATAAAACAAATGAAGTATTCACTTCTGAGACAAAAACAAGAGGCGAAGGGTTAATCAATGAATGTATGTCTCCTACTTTACTCTTCACTACTATTATTATGGTTTATTCTCTTAATATATTAATAGCATATTTTATGGGGAATGATAATATATCAATGTTGGAGCAACAGAGTTTTTCAATCCATGCTAATGTTGTTGGCAGAATAAATTTGGGCAATTAGTTTGGCACGAGAAATATGGGCAATCAACAACAACTGCATGGTGTCACTACATTTGATTCTTATTCACTCTTCAGTGATCAAGGCCCATGGAAACTGCTTGGGTTTCAGCTTTCTAATATAAACTAATATTTATGATCCAGTATAGTGAGCAATAAAATTATTATTTTAGTTATTTGTAAGGAATGCACCTTTATTATCTTCTTAAGCCAAATTTTTTTGTCATTACACTGTGTAATAAATGATGCATTTGAAGTGACAAAATCATTCATCTTCTCTTCATCAATTTTATTTTTATGCTAGAATGCATGCTATGATATCCAAATGTGATCAATTGCTTCTAAAATATTTTGAGATGAAAATGCCCATTAATTAGAATCTTTTTTGTGTCATATTAGTTTATTAAAAAAATATAAACATCATTAAACACTCTCTTCTTATATGCAAAATTAAATTTATTTGATTATTCAATGCTTTATTATATGTCTTTATGGCCATGTTCATTGCTTGTAAAGGTTGAGAAACTCACTTAAAAAAAATGTAACCAAACTAAGAAGCATCAACTATATGCATATATGATTAGAAATTATATAAAAAAAATCTCTATACAAGTGTGATGAGCTATTAATGTATATTTCGGGCAACTCTGCATCACTCGTAGAGATAGAAGGCTGAATAACATAACTTCACAATTTGATTTTTTTAATTAACCAACAAAATATAATAAAATAATAGAACCTCCCATGAGCTTGTGAACTTCAAATTGAAGCTAAAGCCAAACTAATGTGATCATGAATGGCTTCAAAAAATGTGATTATAATTCAACAAGAAATAATGGAAAAATATGTGACCTAATTTTTTAGACATCAAAATATAAAGTAATATTTGGTTTAAGCACTTTTGACAATGTCGGATCTCTAAAATACATTAAAAAATGTTAATTGAGAGTTCATATATAGCTAGTTATAAGTTCAGAATAACAACAACTATAACAACTGATATCATTTGTTTGAAGTACTTAAAGGACGTCAAGCCATAATGTTCGATTATATGACAAATCAAAATAAGATAATCAATTTTTTACACCACTACACAAAAAATTTTAAATACTATATTATATTGAGATTTCAGCAACTTTATTGAAGATAGTAATATTGATTTAGGATTGTATAACTATTCTAAATAAGGGGAAAGCTTATAAAAGGATCTATGTTTTGGAATTGAATCATAGATTAATGAGGAATACTATTTGGAACTTCTCTAGTCATATACTAGAAGTTCAAAGGAGAGATATTTTCAAGAAGGGATTATCAAAATCCTAACTAAGCTTGAAAGTGCTTCAATAGAGGCCATTGTTAGGAGGTAGCTAATTTGAGTTGGTTAAAGCAATTGCCATGGTGACAAATGGTAATATTTCCCATATATAGAATTTCAGATTTCCAAATGTGCATTGGACTTATTGAGATGTAATAAATTACCATACAAAAAACTTATGATAATATATAAATGTTCATAATGATTTTTATGAACTAACCCCAACATTTTCCTAAACTTTTAAAGAAACTTCTTTTATGATTGAGTAGATAGAATGGCAGAGTAATAGGAAAAGTAGGATGTGGTTGTCTACTTTGAGACTATTTTGGTTTGATATGAATGACAGCAGAGTTATTTGTTCATTTGTTGGTGAAACATCTCAATTTATTTATGTTCATCTAATATGTTGTAATAAAATGCAATAAAAAATTTAACATAAGTTCATACTTTGTAAGATATTATTGCACATTATGCTCTATTGAAATTGAAAACAGAGATCATATGCAGAAATCATTTCACAACTAGGCTAAGAAGAATCTGTCGTCCAAGCTCAGTTTTTTGCAAGTTCGTAGTTTCATTTCTTCCATTATTATCTCTGATCCCTGTTTTATTATGTTTCTCAACATTTATTTTCTCTTGCGAGTAATGGCCACATAAAGTTTCAATCTTTGCTGCATTTGTAGATTCTTGCGGCTTAGAAGAAGCCTTTTCTGGATCTTGAGCTTCTTCGCAGAGAACTGCGGTTTTTTCTATATCTTGGTGCCGATCTTTAGAAGGAACAAACTCAACAGCAATAGGATTCATTATGCTTTGAGAGGTACTTTTTCTATTCAAAAATCGTTGTTGCAACTTGGATAACAAGCTTTCCTCCTAAATGAATGGCCAATCACATAGTAAATTGTGGATTTGGGATCCCGAGGGACTCTATGATCTATAGACTCAGGCAAAGAAATTTCAAAAAATAGATGCGACAAACTGTTCGAAGGCTATTATATGAGCCCCGGTCATCACTAATGCGCCTAACAATTTGAGTGTCTCACCCTACACACGAAGGGAATCAAACCCCAAACTAGAGAGGACTTACACCGCCGAAGCGGATGTTCTACCAACCGACTTGGGCGCGGGACGCGCGCGTGCACACACATACACACATGCATGCATACATATTTATATACACACATGCATACATGACGCACCTAACGATTTGAGTGTCTCACCCTACACACGAAGAGAATCAAACCCCAAACTAGAGGGGACTTACACCGTCGAAGCGGATGTTCTACCAACCAACTTAGGCGCGCGACGCGCGCACGAACACACACACACACACATGCATGCATGCATACATGCATACATATTTATATACACACATGCATACAT